TTGCAACATTCAACTCCAAACTTTCCCTGTTTGCAAAGACCCAGACTATAGTTCCATAGAACATCAAATAAAATTTGATCTTATTTTCACTCATTTGTGTCAAAACATCCATTTTTGTTGCTTCCCACCTGCCACCTTTGAAACGGAAAACACAAAAGATAGGGTATTCGTTTTTTGTAGCTTTGTCATTGATCTGTCCTTTTTTTTATTTTTTTATTTTTTTTGGCAGTTAACTACTGGCCTTCTGTTTCTAGGAATGAAACCTATGTGAGCATGGAGTATGAAGCTCCATCAATGTTTTGACTTACAGAATGTTGTGATAACTGCACCTCTTCCATTTATGGATAAATCAGGTATTAGTAAGCATTCTCTTAATTACAAAATTTCACTTATGAACCCAGTGAACATATAATTAAAAAAACATTACAAACAACCAAGGACCCACCTACTCACTCTCTCCTGTTGCAGTGTGCTAAAAAATCTCTCCCAAAATCTTGAACAAAAATTCCAAGAATTCTTCAATCCCATAAACCACCCATTCACAGATTCTAGCAAGAATTCATTAGTTCCCTATTACAAGAAATTAAACTCACTATCAGCTTAAATTAGCGAAATCACAATAAAAATTTCCCAACAAACCTTCAAGAATTATAAAAGAAATGCACAGGAGATAATATATTTAATTTCAAGTGTACTTTTCAGTTTATCATCAAATCTTTTTATAAAATCTCAATGAAAATACAAGGAAACAGATCAAAACGAATCAAATAAGTAAGGTTTAAAAAGAAAGATATTGCACAGTGTTGTACAAGTTCATTTCATATAGTAAGGGTTAAAACCTGTGAATACATGCCTCTCAAGAACTTCACGACACTGCTGATGGATGTTTTGTCTTAAAGGCCGCAGAAAACTATTATTAAGAGATACTGAGAAATGGAAAGAATAATTGGAAGAAAATGAAACCTCTCCATAATACCGTGTATTTAATTTACCTAGAACTCAGACATCTTCTCGTTGAATGTGCAGTAAAGTGAATGTGCCTCCATCCATTATTCCACCTTCTGAATGTTAGCATCTTGAAAACGCTAATAACAATTGATATCTATTAATTTGATCTCATATTGCTATCTACGGAGATAGTAAATTCCCCAACCCCAAAACACACTTACCTTGTACAAAACCCAAAGAAAATCATAGGGCCACAACTTTTGAAAAACTTTCCTTGCCTCCAACGACTAAAGTAGAATGTGCACAAGCATACATCTACACACAAAAGAGATGAGGGGCTGGGCATAGAGAGAGAATCAGCCTGTAGGCTGGGATCATTAATCATGTGTTAAGTGGCATATTGAGTCTTTTGTCTTGGTTTCAGAGGTGAGATTTTCACGTAATGTGGTTAGGGATTGTGGGGGAGATGATGGGCTCATTTCTCTGAAGCCTATTTAGTATTTCCATGGCATACTCGAGTGCATTAAGCTGTGGAGTATGCACTGGAATTATCCTGAATTTGTTGCCAAACAGGTATAAACTTTACACCCATAAACCACCGCTTTCGTGTCTTGCCATCGTGCATCTATGAATCAAAGCGTTTTTGAGGTTAACATCCTGGTCTTTATGATTGATTCAACAAAAACTAGAATATTGATTGTGAATTATGGGTTTTCACTTGTTCATACAAGCTTCCCTGCAGGAATAATCCTATTATTAACCATTCATTTTCATTTTTGAATGCTGATTTTTGAAATTTCTTTGGATTGGCAGAATTGCCAATTGGTTTGGGAGGTGAGAGTGGTAGGCTGGGACATTTCCTATGGAGCTGAGTTTGTACCCAGTGCTGAGGGTGGATACACTTGGATTGTACAGAAATCGACAGCCTACTTTTTTCAGGGAGACCGACCCACAGCCCAAGAAACAAACTTTTTCGCAGGCAAATTCTGACTTTTACTCATGGACAGGCTAGCATAAATAGGTAATAGTTAGTATTCCTTATACATTGTTTTCTTTCTTTAGGCTATCTGGTTTCAATGATCTAACCTCGTGCAAAAAAAAAAAATTGAAGGTGAGTTACTTGAGTCATTCGAGATGTAGAAAAGCTTCTGCCATATTAAGTACAAAAACAAAATATTTGGCATATATACAAATTTTGACACGTGCATTAATTAATGTCTTAACTTGTGGATACATTGCTTTTAATGCCATAGTTCCTAAGCAACAAATGGTTCCTTTTTGCAGTAACATTCATTATATGTGGAGTTTTTGTGATCCTGAACAAGTGAGATTGTTTGTTTTCACATGAACCACATTTATTTTTATGATATACATTTTTTTGGTACCTTATTCCTACACTAGATGCAATCTGTTTTCTTACCTGCGAAAAAACTGCAAATCTTTAAATGATCATGATTTTTGTCTAACCGTCTAGTTCTTTTTTATATGTTTTCAATGCATCATATCACTATTTTATTTACATAAAATCAGTTTATGCTTTCTTTTTCATACATTGTTTTTACTTGTTAGCTCTTTTTCATGCTCTTTCGACCATGTCCTTCATATCAGGTAAATAGTAGAAAATAGGCTATATTGACTGCTGAAAAGGAGGGAAAATTGGATAAAGATGTTCCTGAGAAGAATGAAAGAGAGAAGGCAAAGGAAGGTCAGACCATTTCCAAAGGCAATAGCACTGTAGTTGAAACCGAGGGAAAGCTGGAACAGTTGGATAAGTAAGTTTCTCATGTGTAGGCTTATTAAATGAAATATATATAAAAAGAATTAAAGAACTTCTCATCTCATTTTTATCTTTGTGAAGGAAGCAAAGTTCATGTACTGGGAATTACAGTCCCTTGAATTTGAACTCTTAATAGTTTTCAAAAAGCTTAAATATTAATAGAATCTCACACTTGAGAGTAAATATTGCAAATTAATCCTATCCTTTTTCCTACCATCGAAATCGAAAACATGCCTACGGAGTATAACCAAGTGGTAAGGCGTCAGGTTCTATTACCTGCAAAACCAAGAAAATTTTCTAACCTCTATGCTTAATTCCCAATGCTTTGTTGTGATTGCCTTAAGCTATTGGATTTCCATGATGAGTTTGGCATCACAATAGACCTCATCATGGATATGCTCTTGTTTTGCCAATTTGTACTGGACTGAATTATGATCTGTACTCTGTTGCACCATTAATGTTCACAATTTTACAAATATTCACAGATATGTATTTGGCCAGTTTATGTAATCTGCACCTCCCTTAAATTTAGTTACAGTAGAGTTTTAATGAATCGTCTCAATGGCAGGCGCATCGTAATCAAATTACTGGTGACTTCCAGAAAAACCACAACAATGAGGTATGGTGCTCCATACATCTAAATGATTCATGAAGGTCAATGTATGAGCAGGATTGTTATCCATATGCGTTTGATAGACAACTTTGAAAACACGAGGATGAAAATATTTTATGTTCTTTTGTCCATGATAATTGTAACCCTCTTATATAACTTTGTTTAAACACCTATATTTCTATCCTGCCCCGCTTGTATAGAATTTTAGAATTATTTAAAGGAAAAATGAATTTTTCTGCTTTTCTTTTTGATAAACTCGCACCGTATTTGTGCATAAAAATAAATTTATTTTATTTTGAGTCTACATGGAAGTTTGGCTTACACTCATGTTTTTACATTCTCTATTCAGCAACAAAACCACGAGAACAAGTAGCAGATGCAGAAGCCCTATTTGACATCACGAACACCTTGGTAACCTCTGTGGAAGCATATACCAATGAAGGAGTGACCCCTTCAGATTTTGTTAGTTGTCTGCTTACGGATTTCGGGCAACAAGGTGGACCAAATACTAGCCAAGATGAGGGTAGGAATTCAATACATTGGAAAGATATTGGGCTAGCAGTCTCTCCGTTTTCAGGAGTGCTTATGGGTGTTGTACAATGTAAACACCACTATTATCCTTTCTCCTAGGCCTATTTTCAAATTTTTTTTTGCTCAAACTATTGGATTTGCATGTACTTCCATATATTTTTGACAGGATTGGGCCTATGAATACTGAGATGAAGCAACGCAAGAATGTGGTTCCTAGAAAGCGCTCAAAGCCAGTGGAAAGAGCTCAGCCTGAAGAGGTTAAATATCTTGGCCTTTTTTTTTGTAAACTTGTTGTCATAACTTTTAAGTTACTGGTCATGAAATGGTTGATTGGAAATGAGAAATACTGATGATCAGAGATACCAGTGATGCAATGTCAATCTAATTTTTCTAAAATAATATGCATTGACGGAGTATTAAAATGAACTTGACACCTACAGCATGAGGTGTATTTTTGTCTGTATTCTTATTTCGTCTAATTTCTTGAGCGCGATGGTCTCAATACCCCCCTTCTATCTTTTTTANTCTTATTTCTCAAACATTTGACACTTGTGTGCCATTGTTTTTAGAATTCATTAAATTGCACCTTACTTGAGTTCCACAAAGATTAATGCTACTTCACCCAACTTCACCCAAGTTGGGTGACAAAAGGGGAGGTGCCCAAGTGAGGTCGCACCTCCCCATTTGATGGAGGTGGTGGCGGGCCATAGCCTCCCTCCAATGGAGAGGTGCCACCTCACTTGGGCACCTCTCCTTTTGTAACCCAACTTGGGTAGTGTAGCATAACTCTCTTTTTTAATTAACTCATACTGCATGCTTGTCGACCTACATATAAGCAGATGTACATATTACCCCGATGTAATACTGGATTTTTCAGTGCCAAACGTTTCTTTAAAACTTTGAGCATGATAATCTAAAATTTATGTCACAACAAGTACAACGAGGAATTCCTGCAACCTCAGACGAGGGGTGTAAGAGAGAGGGATAGCAGAAAGGGGGATATAAGTGATATTCTAGTCCTATAAAAAGGATGGAAACAATCGACATAATGTACTTGCACTCTTTAAAGAACTCGGCAAGAAAGGGAAGAAACGAATGTGCATGGTATTAAAAGCAGTGAACTACCTAGAATTATCCCATTTTACCGAAGATACCAGAGAAGCTGGGAATCTTGTCGATATGCTTCAAGGCACGCTCAGCAGTCTGTCGTGTTCGATAATCCCCATACTGGAAAGCATCCACAAGAGCTGTACTTGCATTTTGATCACCGGAAACTTCAAGAGCTATCTCATCATTTCTCAAGAGTCTCTCAACTGCCCAAACTGCCCTCCTCCTCAGACTCTCCATCCGTTTCTCGATTAAAACATCGAGTATAGGCTTGATGCCTTCAGCTTCTAACAACACCTGAACTCCTTGCTCGATATTAACCCCGTCATCCAACAAAGTTGACAAGGCTGCAAGTGATGCTTCGATCACCTTTTCATTGGTGTGGTCCAGAAGAGCCACCAACTTGTCTACGGCCTGTCCATCCAAGAGACAAAAGCTTTCTTTTAGGGAACATGTCCCCCCGTGGACCCTACATGATCCCGTTATGAAAGATGTCTTGCTGAAACAAGGGAAGACAGATCCACAAAATCCAAGAGAAGGAATCTCTGGCAGTTTGGTCAAGTTTTTGGATTCTTGGGATAGATTCTCTAAAGCCATAGCAGATACCATTTGTACATTGTCAAACCCATTGGCCTGTAGAAGTTCTATGAAGAGTGATGCAAGATTGTGCTCACTACAAAGTGCCCGCACATCTCCCGACTCCTCAGACAAGGCAAATGTAATCCTTGCTAGAACCTTGACAAGCCCTTCTAAATATGGGGTCATGAAGCGGCCACCTCTAGTCTCCCCGTGTCTTATCCTAATTACTCTGGAAATGAACAGTTGGAAGGCACCTTCATTTACCATCTGTCGCGTGAGGCCCACGTCTCTTTCTGGAAGATCAGCCAAAAGCCCGACAGCTGCTGCCTGCTCCTCGGTTATTCCAACATTTTCTGATATGACTTGGATTAGGCTGCCGAGCTGACCAGATGTACCACACAAGCAGCTGGCTAGCTCTTGCCCCATGTGTGGAGAGAGCTTCTGAAGAAGTTTTATGGAAGCAACCCTCAGATCCCTCTGTGAAGCCTCAATAAACTGAACCAAACTAATAGTAGCACCAGAACTTTTTATAGCAGAAACAACACTGGAAACAGTTGTTGGAGTACTCGTGAGCCCAACAAGAATCTGAAGTAGTTTGCACTCTATCGCAGGGCCAGTGTTGCTAATGAGATGGAGAAGGTTATGAATTATTTCCTCCGATACAAGAGTTTGGTTATCTGATCCAACTGGGACAGAATGAAAATCATAACCCGAATTCACAACATTCGCAAGAATCATCGCCGAAACTTCTTTCAGCCGTGTGGGCAGCTGGTTGGCACCGACTCTGAAGAGATCCTTGACAAGGGGGGGAAGTAAACCCTCTTCTATCAAGACCTTGGCACTTTCCTCGTCTGATGATATTTGATTTAAAGCTTTAAGAGAAGACTCTCGGGATGGCATATTATTAGTCTTCAGGAGATTGATCAAGGATGAACCAGCTGTCCGAGCAACAAAGACTTTCACGTCATTGTTTAGAACCAGCTCACCCAGGAGTGCAGCCATTGACAATTTCGCTTCTGGAGAGCCTGCAATAGTTCATGATAAAATATTATTTTCCATCTTATGCATATCCCCCAACCCCCCGCCGCTCCAACCCATACAGAAAAAACCTCCCAACATAGAACTTAATGGTACCACAGATGACTATGAAAATACCATCTAAGTATAGAATCTTAAAGTTCTAAAATCAAACAGCTGGAAATCAAGTGGTATAAAAACACAGAAGATTTTATGAAAACACAGAGGTATTGAGGTTGGCAAAGCACCTTCAAGTAGGAGAGTCAGAAGAGGTTGCAACCTTCCATTTTCAGCCATTTGTCTGACGTTGTTTTCACATTTTGCCAGATTGTCCAGTGTTTTATGCGCCTTCTCAACAGTGACAATATTTTCCGATTTGCTGCTTGCCATTCCTACTAATATGAGAATTACTCCATTGATTGAACCCATCTTTTCACACAATTTCTCAGATTTGGAGAGCTCGTACAGCAACGAAACTGCTTCTTCTCTCTCTTTGGATTGCTCGTGCGATAAGAATTTAATTATTGTACGTACAGTGTCCCCTTCTGCCATCATTTCCTGCAAAACTAGTAACAGAAAATCAAAAGGGAAGGAACAAAGGGCAACTGGAACTAAGATTAACAAGTAAAATGCACAATCAAATTGTCACCATTTGACAACCTTAATATCAATGTCTTCCTCCACCACAATTTGAAGGGTTTCCAGAGCCTTGCAGCGAACTTGACGACTGCTGTTATTCAGCATATGAACAATCATAGGTGTCAGCTCAGCGTTACGGATTACATGCTTGTTGGACCCCTGTTTTTGGCAGAGCTGCTGGACAAACTTCAAAGCCTGTAGAATATCACTCTCCACCTCCGGGCTGCCTGGTGATAATGATCTGCGAGCCATGTCAAGCTGAGCGGCTTCATTCCTGGCATTCCATTCTTCGATTGTATTCTTCAAACCAACACTTGGATTTAGTTCCATGCTCTTTAACTCGTTTAGTGTTAATGGGCAAATGAGCTTTCTTCCACTTTCCTTACTTTCCCTGAACCATTTCTCAATGGCTTCTCTTTCAAATGTTCGGCCATTTTCCAAGGCTACAGGATCTCGCATTACTTTTTTCGTTAAAGGGCATATGAATGCATCATAAATGGGCTCGAGACGTAGCTTCTCAAAAAGGTAGCTGTCATCGGACTGACCACCAATATCATACCTTCCATCCCAGCTTCCAGCCATAAAATCCAAATCTGTCAAGAAAGCAATTTAGTTCTTACTGATTCCAGCCTCCCTTCTGGATAACATGCAAATATTGCAATTTCATTATTACTTCTTCGGCTTTTAAAAGGAAAACAAGTTTAAAACATAGTTTATCAGAACTGATAATAACTATTGAAATATGCTATATTTACTGCAGAAAATCAGAAGTTGAAGGTGTCGAATTAGTTGAAACTGCTGGAGATTTTCAGGAATAATTATAACAGAAAAAAAAAAAAATCTGCTTTATATTTGAATTTTTATCAGTTTTGAAGCCCATTTACATTTCTTATTCATTTTCTGTCAAATAATCTACAAATTGGTGTCAGAGCATAAATTCTTAAGGGACTTGTGAGTGAATCAAATATGGTTGAAACCATTACATGGCAACACCTCCAGTTTTCACAGGAGAAAACTATCACATTTGGGCTATGAAAATGGAGGCATTTTTCCAAGCAAATAATCTTTGGGATTTGGTGGAGACAGAAGAATTACTGGCACATGAGGATCCAACTGTTGCACAAATTAGCAACCAGAGAGATGAGAGAACGAGGAGGTACAAAGCCAAGACATGCATTCACTCATCAGCAAATTCAATTTTTACATAGATCATTGCCTGTGAAACAGCCAAACAGGCGAGGGATCTTCTTAGAGAAGAATATCAAGGAAACACTAGAACAAAGAAAATTCAAATTCTAAATCTAAATCTAAGAAGGGAGTTCGAGATGCAGAAAATGAAAGAAACTGAAGGGATCAAGGACTACAGTGATAGATTGATGGTGGTAGTCAATAAAATCAGGTTGCTAGGGGAAGAGCTTCCTGACAGAAGGGTTGTGGAGAAAATCTTGGTATCCAGGGATCTGTTTCACCATGGGAGAATTGATTAATGCGATGCAAGCTCAGGAGCAAAGAAGAGCTTACAGACAGGACGAGACAATGGAAGGAGCTTTTCATGTGAAAGAAACTGATCAGAAACAAGAAGAAAACAAGGGTAAAAAGCAATGGAATAGAAATCAGAAGAGAGAAGGTGGAAACAACGGAGGAAACATTTCTTATTCATTTTCTGTCAAATAATCTACAATAACTGACAACCCTTCAAGGCTGCTGCTCGACACAAATGATAGTTTTAGATTATCACAACAATGTCCCTTCTCATCTTTTCCCTTCAATTTTCAGGCCAAACACATATCATAAGTGAAATTGTAGCGAGATAGATCTCTGCGTTCTCTTTGACATGTAGAGTGTTCCAGCTACTCCGATCAGTGAATGCTACCTGCAAAATAAGGTCGGGGCTTTCTCTCCCGTTGTACCTCCGGCATGAGAATCAATAGTTGGTTTAGAAAAGTAAGAAGAGAGCATAATTGGAATTCAAATAGTTCGGGTTCCAAGGAAAATACATTTCTCACCTTATGGGTATTTATAGGCACCTGATGAAACGCCTTCATTCTGCGGTTAATCATGCCACGTTTCCCACGTAAACCTTCCCACTTTCCCCACTTTCTAACGGTATGACCCCCACTTCTCAAGCGGTTGGTTGTGTCCATGTTTGTTGTTGGGTGATTCCCATCTAGCCCATTGTCATTCGTATGATTAAGAGTAGTGTTGGCCTCATTGTGGTGACGGCCTATGTGAACGTAGAGGTCCTCATGGGGGTCGACAGTCTCATGTTGGTATGCAGTCTCATGGTGGTAGACGACCTATGTGAACATAGAGGGCCTCATGGTGATAGGCGACCTATGTGAACGTAGAGGACCTCATGGTGGTAGACGACCTCATGGGGGTCAACGGCATCATGGTGGTCGACAGTCTCACAGTGGTAGACGACATATATGAACGTAGAGGGCCTCATGGGGGTCGACTGTAGTAGACGGCCTATGATGTGGTGCTCTACATGGAATGCATATCAAGTAACCATTACCTCAATGGTCATCACAGATAATTATTAATGCCATCTTATATCACTAATACCTCTTACCTCTTGTCGATGTCTATTGATAAGGGGTAGCCTTTTCACGCTAGTTAATTAATTTAATTTAATTTTTTTAAATGTGTCGACATTTGATATAAACGGGTCCATCAGTCCAATTGAAGTAGAGTGACAAAATATTGTACAAGTGGCATCTCATAATTGGGTTTTAGTTTTTCCCCCAAAAAATTTCAAAATTCCACCTCTATTCAAAGAGGTGAGTGATTTACTTTTACCCCACTTTGCAAAAATCTCTCATCTCTCTTAACTCTCAAAGTAACTCTTTCCTCTCCTCTTCCTAGTCTTATTTTATTTCTTGTCATTTTGGTTTTCTTTCTCTATCATGTATAAACGAATGCTACTTGCAAAATAAGGTCGGGGCTTTCCCCCCGTTGTACCTACGGCGTGAGAATCAATAGTTGATTTAGTAAAGTAGGAAAAGAGTATAATTGGAATTCAAACAGTTCGGGTTCCAAAAAAATACATTTCTCACATTAGGGGTATTTACAGGCACTTGATGAAACGCCCTCCTTCTGCGGCTAATCGTGTCACGTGTCCCATGTAAACCTTACCACTTCCCCCACGTTTTAACGGGATGACCTTCACTCCTTAAGCGGTTGGTTGTGCCCATATTTGCTGTTGGGTGGTTCTCGTCCAGCTCATTGTGACGGATCGCAAGGTGATGTCTTGAGATCTAGCCTGGCACGGAGATGTCAACTAAAATGGTGGGGAAATGACTGATGTCCATGGTGGCTGGTTCGTGTCCAGGTCGTGTCTAGAAAATTCGGGTGTGCAGGCAGCCATGGCGACACTTCTGCAACACAGGCAGACATCGTAGGCAGATTGCAGGCAGCACCCAGGACGCAGTCAGGACATGGCCAGACACAGACTGCATTCATGGCATGACGCAGACAGCACAACAACACAAAATGCAGGCTGCCTGACATGGGGAGTGACATGGCCATGACATGGGCAGTTTTTCCCAGCATACCAGGTGGTTTTATAGGGAAGAATACCATGGGCAGATTGCTGGGATATTTGGAGAGTCTTGTACAAATTGGCTACTCAAGCCACTTGCAAGATCAAAGGAAGAAGCAAAAGCCAATTTGAACGCAGATGGCCTCATGGTAGTAGGCGGCCTATGTGAACGTAGGGGGCATTATGGTGTTAGGCGGTCATGGGTGTTGACGGCCTCACAATAGGAGATGACCTATGTGAACGTAGAGGGCCTCATGGGGTAGACTGTAATAGACAGCTAATGATGTGGTGCTCTACATGGAGTGTATATCAAGTTGGCTATTGTGGATAATTATTAATGCAATCTTATATCAATAATAAGGAAAAGATATGGGAAAAGAAGAAAATCGAGGATACTTGAACAATTGAACAAATGGAGAAACTAGATTTACTCTACTTGAAAACCAGAAATCTACTAAGCCACAGTTCTGCGGGGAAGTCTGTCTCTTTTCTGCCTTATTCCCTTACAACGAAAGTTTCACAGTTGACAAAACCAAGAGAAGAAGAACAGTAAAATAAATATTAGCAGTTTTATTCCCTTTCAAGATATCATTTTCCCGAACTCATTGTCAGGATCAGTTGAATCATTCCTAATGCTAATTTTTAATAATATACAAGCAATTAGGTTCATAGGAAAACCTTGGCTCTCATCCAAACTTGCATATTTTAAAACTGTAAGCAATTTCAAGAACTATCCATGATTATCAATTCCCACTATTATTTCATCTAGTTCAATAGTTTACAATTCAACCAATTAATTAAGTTCAAGACAAGGCCAATATATATCTCAAAACACTTTAATTTCAAAAAAAATCAACTACAATTCACTGAAATGCAAATCAAAGAAACCAGAACAATTACCTAACGGAAATTCTTGGAAACCTTCAAGGACCTTATGGGAAAATCTTCTAATTTTAACTTGGCATTAAAATCTTTTCAAGAAATTAGCAAACTAGAAAAGGAAAATAGCAATTCAATACTGTTGATTGTCCCATGGTTGTCCCATGGTTGTCCCGTCGAGGTGGGAAAGGAGACGGGGAAAGAAAGGGCAAGACAAGAAACGGGAAAAGGCGATGTCAGAAGGTGAAAGCCAAAAGGGCGATGAGACGCAAAAACAGAAATCTTTCTCTCAGATTTAGAGAAATCTTTGGGGTAAAAAGTTGACTGAGAAACATTAGTCATCGTTGTGCTGTACAAGGCTGTTTGTGGACGTAATACATACATGTGCTGCTTTCAAAGCCTTTGTTCACACTTCCCCATCATATTTTTGTTCTCGATCCAGACCCCACTGTTTATAATAGGCTTTGTGTTTGGGACACATACTTTTGAAAGAATGTATTATTGAATAGTAGATTGATGGAGAATGTGTGGTGTGTGGTTAAAAATGAAGGAAAAGTTATTGATGTGACGAAAAATATTATTTTATTGAAAAATGTGTAGTTGAAAATGAGTAGAAGAATGAGAATGAAAAAAAAAATATGTACCAAACATGACCTAAAAATTTGATTCAACATCATTCTCGTCAAAATTATAAAATTAAAAAAAGTTATGACCTAAAAATTTGATTCAACATCATTCTCGTCAAAATTATAAAATTAAAAAAAGTTGAACCCAAATTTTGAGGGTNTAGTTGGACAGTTTTAAAAAAAACAATTTTTTCAATCAATCTTTTTTCGACAACACAGCAAATGTCATCCATGGTGTAAGGAGGGGGTGTACAAACAGCATAATCCATTTAACATAGTTGCATAAGTGGTTGAACGACTCGATAAGATGACATTAGTGAGGCTCTGTTTAACAACCATTAAAATGAGTTTTTTTAGGGAAAATATATTTTGAAATAGTAATTTTTTGAAAAATGTGTGATTAAATTTATGTGCTAAATATTTTATCGTAAGAACGTGAGATTGAAAATGAATTTGAGAAAAAAAAAAAAGAATTTTATTTTCATAGTTTTCAAACCGAGAGTCCGAGACTAAGCGTAAAAAGAACGGCTTGCCCCATGCAATTTTGATTTATAGTGATTTAAACATTTTTAACTTTTTCATTTTAATCCATCAATTTATTTAATGCTACAAGTACAAATTTTTTATCGCAGAAATATTACAGAATTTTAAAAAATCTGAAGTGGCACTGCAAGATGCCTTTTATCCTGACAGCCACTGCCCCACGCCCTTTTACCACCCACCCGCCCAAACCCAATACAGCAACGTCTTCCTTTTTTTCCTTATTATTGTCCCAAATTTCAAAATTATCGCGTGAATATTAAACGAAATCAAAATATTACATCCTTAACACCATTTCGAAGTACTCACGACCTAGTTTATCGTATTCTTAACCGCGTGTAAAACGGCCAATCGTAGCAAAAGTTACCACTCGTCGAAATAGGCCGTTTCAAAATATATTAATGTTTTTTTCGTTATTTTTATCTCAACTTTCGAGGTTATTACGGGATATCAAACGAAATTGAAATCTCATATTTTTAACACCATTTCGAAGTATTCACGGCCTAGTTTATTATATTCTTAACCACGTGCGAAACGGCCAACCGTAGCAAAAGTTACCACTCGTCGAAATAGGCCGTTTCAAAATATATAAATGTTTTTTTCGTTATTTTTATCTCAACTTTCGAGGTTATTACGGGATATCAAACGAAATTGAAATCTCATATTTTTAACACCATTTCGAAGTACTCACGGCCTAGTTTATTATATTCTTAACCACGTGCGAAACGGCCAACCGTAGCAAAAGTTACCACTCGTCGAAATAGACCGTTTCAAAATATATAAATGTTTTTTTCGTTATTTTTATCTCAACTTTCGAGATTATTACGGTATATCAAACGAAATTGAAATCTCATATTTTTAACACCATTTCGAAGTACTCACGGCCTAGTTTATTATATTCTTAACCACGTGCGAAACGGCCAACCGTAGCAAAAGTAACCACTCGTTGAAATGGCCGTTCCAAAATAGGCCGTTCCAAAAAAAACATTTATATATTTTGGAACGGCCTATTTCGACGAGTGATAACTTTTGTTACGGTTGGCAGTTTCGCACGTGGTTAAGAATATAATAAATTAGGCCGTGAATACTTCGAAATGGTGTTAAAAATATGAGATTTCAATTTCGTTTGATATCCCGTAATAGCCTCGAAAGTTGAGATAAAAATAATGAAAAAAACATTTATATATTTTGAAACGGCCTATTTCGACGAGTGGTAACTTTTGCTACGGTTGGCCGTTTCACACGTGGTTATGAATATAATAAACTAGGCCGTGAATACTTCGAAATGGTGTTAAAAATATGAGATTTCAATTTCGTTTGATATACCGTAATAATCTCGAAAGTTGAGATAAAAATAACGAAAAAAACATTTATATATTTTGAAACGGTCTATTTCGACGAGTGGTAACTTTTGCTACGGTTGGTCGTTTCCCACGTGGTTAAGAATATAATAAACTAGGCCGTGAGTACTTTGAAATGGTGTTAAAAATATGAGATTTCAATTTCGTTTGATATCCCGTAATAACCTCGAAAGTTAAGATAAAAATAAGGAAAAAAATATTTATATATTTTGAAATGGCCTATTTCGACGAGTGGTAACTTTTGCTACGGTTGGCCGTTTTGCACGCGGTTAAGAATACGATAAACTAGGTCGTGAGTACTTCGAAATGGTGTTAAGAATGTAATATTTTGATTTCGTTTAACATTCACGCGATAATTTTGAAATTTGGGACAATAATAAGGAAAAAAAGGAAGACGTTGCTGTGTTGGGTTTGGGCGGGCGGGCGAGGGGGTGGGTAAAAGGGCGTGGGGCAGTGGCTGTCAGGATAAAAGGCATCTTGCAGTGCCACTTCAGATTTTTTAAAAATCTGTACTATTTCTGTGATAAAAAATCTGTACTAGTAGCATTATTCTTTCAGAAAACCATATATCAAAGCAGCTTTTAATATTATATAATTTCATTAGTTTTTGACTCCTGTTATCATTTCCATTCCTAAGTAAATCTCGCCATTAGAAACATCACCAGATCTTCAATCAACCGACCATTAACTTAATTTAAACAACTTCATAAGTCACTAATAGTATATTCTTAAAAAAGAATTAAGTGACTTAAGTCCCATCTTGTAAGTTTGATGACCAACAAAGTTCTTAGTTTATAATTTCAATCATGTTACAAGCACATTTTTCTTTACATTAAATTTGACACTTTTCCATATGACATTGATCAAGGCCATTGATTTCTACATCCTATCATATCACTGCCCAAATTTTGACACAGAGAAAGAATGTCAAGTATAATGCACATATAGCTTAATTTTTATAACTTGTGCTCAATTGTTCTAGGCGACTATAGGAGAGAGAGAAAGGACGGGACAACCACTACTCAGTTCCCTGAAAGCATTATAAGAAATCTTTGAACAAAACAAGTTAGCCAGCACTAGGTCTTGGGCAGGTTGCCTCGAACTGCACCATACCAGAGCAACATGTCTTGAAATGCCATGGTATAAGCATTAATCAGTCGATCATGTTTATATGGTTCTTTCACAGCCTTTCATCCCCTGAGGCTAGCCTTGCCCACTAAACCAATGGTTCTTCTCCAGCCTGATGCCCTCTTAACTCGACTTTCTGCTGTTGCACACATTTATTAGCCACATGCCTCGAGTGCGAACCTAGCCATCCAATCCAATCCTGCAAGACCTGGCAGTGCAATTATCACTCTGTGCTCTTTCTCCTCCATCTACTCTAACTCAGGCTCAGGCTTTACTTTTCTTGCATTCAACAGAATTAGGTTCCTTGCTATTACATATAATGTTAGTGTTTGTATGTTAAATGATCAGAAGCAGCTGGTTTTAACTTTGATAACGAACTGGCTGAGAAACGCAGTCAAGATCTACAAACATTTCCTTATAATGTTGAGGGCACATCACAATATCACTACTTTCTTAGTATTGACGAAATAATTATTGACTATAATGGATCTGCATAACCATTTGAAGATCCCGTCTTCATTCCACGAAACATAAAAGAGATTTTCAGCATGCAGTGATTGCCATGTAGAAGTAGAATGCTTTAACAGATTTCTTCAGCAAAAACCATATCAAATTTTAATTGCACTGCAAAGGAAAAGGCAACTATCAGAATAGCAACCAGATAAAACAACTTGTCCTGCTGAGGCCAAAACCGTCAAACTCAGATTGCACCTTAGAGACAAGAACCACGTCAAAAGGTTAAAAAATGGTAAAGAAGAATTCTAGTGTTTTACGTATTGTTACAAGTTCCACAAGGTGATCGGGCAGTTCAATTCTAGCTAAATATTAGAATTGTTTGAAAAGCACAAAGCAGCAAGTAGTTATTACATGCTATTCCACATAATGCAACTAAACGCAACTCAATGGTTTCATGATCCCAAATAGGCACATGCCAACATACTTAAGGATGTATATACTGGCCCGGAATTTCTTTTCATCCTTATAAGTGAACCATTTTTATATAAAGATGCCTAAAGCACATTTCAGTTAATATATTTATCCATGTAAGTTTCACCAGATAATTTTAATCTACCTTCTTCTCTGGGAATATTAGGTTGATCAACCAGGAGTTGCCGAAGTGCATCTAGATCACCATCACCACCACTGCAACGAAATCATAGCATAATGCAATAAACTTCAGAAAAAAGAGTGCATTCAGCGGAACAAGTATACAACAGAAGAAGCAATTGAACTACCAGCATGAAAACCATTAACAGTAGCAAGTAGCTAAAAAAGGGCAGAACTTTTAAGGAACTCTGCTTCTGCATTCTTGGCACAATTCATTGTACTCCTTCGGTAATATTCCAAGTAATAAAAGAGTTCCAAACTCTCTTATCTATAATGTTGTTCATATAATATTTAAAACCTACTGAGGTGTAACTTGTGTGAATTGAAATAAATTCCAACTGGATATGGGCTTTGATAATCAATGACAAAAAGATAGACCTTAAATCAACAACAGGAGACTATGGCAACTTCAGAGTTCAGGAATTCATTAAATTATGCACTATTAGAAGTGAATCCATAATTTTGAGTAATGCATAATTCACGTTTTCTTCTCTCATAAAAGTTGGACAATGACACAGAACCTCAAGCTGGAGTTGGAAATCAAATATCAACCCAAACAAATTCATCACAGTCCCAAACACCGAGGTCATTACATAAAGCCAAAAAAAGCCAAAAGCCATTATGTTCAATTAGGATACTATTTTTCAAGAAAACCTACACTACCCCTTTCTGATTGAGAGGAGCTTGTGCAGAACAAACTATGTGTCTTCAGATTGATGTTCCAAGAGAAAATAAGAAGGTAGAAATTGGATGATACCAAGAAGAGCCTAATCTTTCCATACCTGAGTTTCAATGCAAGTTCAGGAAGTGCTGACACCACAGATAATTTAAGATGGTACCTGCATTAGAATGTAGCGTGAGTCGTGTTTTAGAACATCTTTTCAATTCAATATCAAAGACAAAGTTACAGGATGAGCCAGCCTGGCACAGGCCATGTGGCCTCACATTTTCTGGCCATGCCAATGGAGGTTGTGCCATTTGACAGCTCTATCAGGATATGCCAACAAACTATTTTCCTTTTTGTCAAACAATAAACATAAAACCAACTTCATCATTAGGGATGGTAACGGTTCGGTTCGGGGTCGGTTCGGCCAAAACCATAACCGCACCACCAACTTTTTGACCATACCATAACCACGTAAGTCGGTTCGGTTCGGCTTGGTTCGTATCTCAATTCGGTTAATACCACAAAAATAAATTATTTTTTATAAGTCAAAACACTAACTGTCAAATTGAAAAAAAAAAATTATGCAGAAAAGTCAATAAAAACAAAAATACAATATTAAACCAATTTAACAAACAATATCCCAAATGAAAATGCAAACAATATCCCAACTTCCAAATGCAAAATTCGAATTTAACAAACAATATTATTAACATAGGTGAAGACTCTTACTAGCATAGGTCAATCTTCATTTTTCCCCACAACTCTTACTAGCATAGGTCAAGAGTCAAGACATAAAGTTAATTCCTATATAGTAAGCATGAGAGACATTTAATCCATTATTTTGTAAGTTCTATTTCTATTTATCCTGGAGATGCTGCAAATTTTTCCTTCAAACAGGGAACCTAATGATACCAGTACATCTCACTGTTTACTCAATACTCAAAAGTAGAGACCCTATACAAGCAATGAAATTACATTATCAAAACCTGATCCCCCTTGGAAAATTTTATTCGGAAACATCAATTTTGGGAAATAACTCAAGAATATCATACATGGAACCACAAATGTAAAAAGATAACTTACAGTTTGGAAAAGGAGGGAAAGAAAAGCACGCAGATGATCACGGAATGAATTAAAAGATTACTCTGAAATTACGCATAATGGATTAAAAGATTACGCAGATGACCCATGGCAAAACATCTCAGATCTAATTGCTGAAAAACAAGATTTAGGGAAATTGGGAAAGAACAAAATAGGGTAAACAAAGTGGAAGAGTGTTTTGTAATGTTAATTGGGCCAACATATTGGGGAAGCCCAAATCCCATTTGTCAAAAATTGCCCAATTAATTTTGGGAAAGAATAATGAAAAACCCAATTGACCAATTAATTTTTTTTTTAACGGGCAATCGGTTCGGGGCGGGGCACCATCGCTAAATACCATACTCGCCCCACCACGAATCGGGTCATTAAAATCAAAACCATAATCACCAATTGCACCATTGGTTCGATTTTTTTCGCCCCCATTCGGTTCGGTTAACCACGATTTTCGATTTTAATTGCCATCCCTATTCATCATAGGTAACTTGAAGTTTATTTTTAATGGAACACAAGAAAAATGAGAAATCCGCTAATAAACTTCAATGTTCAAATTTTCAGACCTTACATCTTTATACGTGAAAGTTGTATGGATAACACTAAGTCCCAATTTCTATTTGTAATGAGACAGGGGTTGCAGTCCGTTACAGTAACCTCTAGTAAACTATGAATAACATTTCAATACATGGTATTAGGGTAAACAGTGTACACATACATTTCTGCAGCATAAATGCACATATTTGTATTAGGAGTGAGCAGCATTTGTCAGCCATTTCGGTCATCAAAATGAGGAAAAGAAAAAAAAAATTGGAGATTTGCAGAGTTCAACGTGTTCATACTCGGATTGGTGCATCTCTTCAAGAAGTCTAAGTCCATCCAAACAATCTGCAACACTTGGTTTCACGCCGATTTGCTGCTTCAGCTGTTTTGTGGTTAATTGAGCAGACCCCCCTTTTACTAGCTGCCTGCTATCACGGACAATCTTCTCAATTGATAAGACTACCCCATGAAAATATTCCCTTGATTTCAGTCACCAAGACCAAAAAAAGAAATGTCAAAAGAAAAATCAACTTCTTGCCAGTAAACCAATGAGATTCTAAATTCCACAAGTTAAAAAAACAAATTACAAATTACATCCTGGTTGTGAACAATTTACAATAATAATTGATCAAAATTGAGCACCATAACCATCAACATCAAATCACAGAAAATTTACAGATAAGCCCCATCATGATTGGTTATAATGTTGATGGGAAATCAACTACTCGAATTTGAAAAAACTTGAAGAAATGAGCATAGTGAACTTTTATTATCAACTGAATTCAAAGGCAACACACTTGCAACTTCAATAAAGACAAACACATACGAATGATATCATTAAAGTTCTATCTTTGGTCCTATTATATCATTTTTTATTGGCATAGAAACTGGAAACAGTGTTCCCGAATAAAAGAAGAATAAAAGAGGAAAGAATTACAAGGTCTTTTTCATAGAGAGCAAGATGGTTTGCAGAGACTCCATTTGCTTCGCCAACACAGCACCTTCAATGCCCTCAATACATTTCAAACCACCATAGTTTCTAGATTTATGAATCACCTAAAACTTTGAAAACAATTAAAACTCTGGCAAAAGAAGAAGAAAGATGCAGCTCATTTATCATACATGCACGTGTAGGAGAGAGGACCTGTAATCTTTGAACAATGGAAGAGGCGTTTGAGAATTGTGAAAGTAATCTAGACTGAAGCTCTTCCCAGCTATCCATTTCATCTTTGACTTTTCTGTACTTCTGCTGATAATTTTTTACCACAGCCTCCATATCTGTAATATATCTTGGAAAATCGAATGACCTCTAACTCAATGAACTCAACTCAAGGTAGATCTGAGCAGGCAAGAGAAGGGATATGTTTTACTCAAATGCCTAAGCTTAAAATGTTTTCTCGAAAGTAAATAATAAATCGTTTTTACTATAAATAACTATTTATTAATTAAAATTGGAAATAAAGTTATTCAAAAATCAGTAATATTTTAATTTAAAAATGAAGTAATTTATTCAAACATATTTAAAACAAAAATTACGTAAAACTGTAAAAGTGACTTCTCTTTACTTTTAAACTAAGACAAACGTGCTCTTTTATCCTTTTACTTGCTTTTCAGGTCTAAAAAGCTATAGTTAATCACACCGCTTGCCAATTTGCCTATGGTTCAATTGTAACAACAGGCATGGATGGAATGCACATATTGTCAGCAAAGATAAAATTCAGCGATCTACTTGAAATAACCATACAGCTAAGTGATCAATTTGAACAAAATAAAGTTTAATGATCAACATAAAATTTCATTCAAAGTAAAATGGCTATAACTACTTGTAACCCAAGAAAGTACAGTGAACCAGATCATCGGTCAACTTGGTCCTCGTTCCATCAATTTAGGGGCAGGCAGAAACTGTCAGTACAATTCTTGGAGCCTGTCTTAAACGGAATGAGAACCAAGAATTCCATGTGCAATATAAAACCATCCGGTTCTGTTGGAATTAGATCTTACTGAATATTACCACAAGTTCGCATTTTGATGAAATTAACAGGACCTAGCAAAACTGAATTCTGGAATAAATGGGTATAGAAAAAATTGTTGAAAGTTTGTTATGTTTGCACAGAAATTAATGCATATATGTGATATTGAATTCTGGAAATGAACAAATCTGTACATGGATTGAATAATTCACAACCTGGAAATAACTATTTTATACATTGTCTGAAACATTAATCCTGAATTCATGTACCAAATCACAACATAATAGTAAAAAAATGGGAACATAAATAATGGAGAGACAAAAAAACCATCTGTAAGAACAACATGCAACTGCTGTCCCAAGTTATAAATTCCAAGCTGCAATTAAAAAATTTCAAAAAATACAGAAATTCGCACAAGAAATCGTGATAATAGATTTGCAACTGTGAATCTTACCTTAGCGTAAATAATGGCACAGCTGCATAGGGGCCGAGCCACAAATATTGTCCAGTGCGAGCGGAGTTTAATCAAGTCCGGACTTTGAGTTTTTGACCATGGATCTAATGATGGTAAAAATATAAACAAGCAGAATTAACGGTAAAGTCAAAAGCTTGTAAATCAATGAATATACCTTACTTTTATTTATCGTAACTAACTTCTCCGCAAGATCACTAAGGCCATTCAACCCTTCAAACCCTCTCTTTTCTGTCCATATAGCAGATACATACTCTAATTAGAATTGAGCCAAAACCATTTCTTTTCCCTGTTCTTCGACTTCAATTCCTTTACCAATTTGAATAATAATTTGGTGGGCCATATACATGTATATATATCATAATAAATCCATTTGCCTTTGTTTGACTTACAACACTTCATGCCTTAAAATCTGTATATATACATTTATGGACATCAATATGCGCAGGGAATCTCGTACTCAATCCCAATTCGTTTCTGCAGTAATTCCTGATCACAAAATTAAGCTAACTCATTTCCTTCTTTCCTTAGCACTTGACTTATTTCTTGACTCTAAATTTCCAATTGCAACCAATAGGCATAATAACATCAACTATACACGAACCAATCCGAAAAATAAATCATCTAGAATATGGTTCCTAATCCAATTCCACAAAATATGATAATGAAAATTGAAAAATGAGCAGAGAGAGAAGATTATTACTTGCCGCCTGCCGTTGGAGATTATTAACGCCACACACCCAGCCACCAGTGCACTTGGAGTAGGCGATGGAGGAAGAGAAGTGATCGGAGATGGCGAAATTGGAGTGACTGACCGGAGCAGTGAGAGCAGCGGCGGAGAGCCAGGGGCTGAGAAGACTAGCGAGACTAGAGAGGGGAGGATGAAATGTCTGAATTTGGGAATCGGGCTGGAATAACAATAGGTCACGATCTTTTTACGCCGTTTTCCGATTTCCCTTTTTTTTTTTAAACAGTGAAAACGCCAAGTTAAAGTTAAAATTTACAAAAGAAAATCCAAAACGACAAAATTTCTTTAATAATCAAGTTAAAATTTTCAAAATACGTTTTGGATGTTTTCAAAAAAAAATTTCAAAATGCAAAGACATTTTTAACAATCTCAAAATGGACACTCAAAACACAAAATCCAAAATGAATTCAAAATTCAAAACACAAAATTGAAATACAAAGAGAACAATCCTAGGGGTCTGTTCTCTTCGTGTTTTAGTTTTGAATGTCTGTTTTGAAATTTCTAAAAATGAGTTCTTTTTGTCATTCTGTAAAACTGTTTCTCAAAACATAAAAATAGAAAAAGCGTTTACTTTGAAATTTTGAGAATAATTTCTGATAATGCGTTCTTTTTGCTATTCTAAAAAACTGTTTTCGAAAACTTAAAAATAGATAACGAGTTTACTTTGAAATTTTGAGAAAATCTTATTATTCTATAAATTTTAATGATTTAATGTTAATATAATATTAAATAACATATAAATAATGTTGCACAGCAGATACTAAAAATTATATTTCTATTTGCAGGAGAAAAAGAGACAAAATTCACAATTGTGTTATTGAACATCTGGGATAAATGGCTCGTTCAAAGGGCAAATGGTACATTCAATAGGCTCGACCTATACATTTAAATGATGTGAACACAACAATACACAAGCAAGCTGCATAATATGTAATAAATAACAACAGCAACAACAATTCGATACACAACCGAGCTTCTTTAACTTAAAGCAACAACAAATGAGATTACATATTCGAAGTAACTAAATCAGTTCACTTTACAAAAATACAGCAACTTTGATGCCAACACTTCAAAAAAATCCCCTAAAACATTTACAAAAACAATATTCCCAAAGTATTGGCTGCACTTTAAGCTGCATCTGTATATGAATTTGCCCGAAGCCGTAAGCTGAACTTCATCCCAGTAAATAGCTGCTCCAGGTTGTAGGCCACAATACAAGCAGTCCAAAACACCCCTCAAAAGAAACATAGCTCACAATATTTCAGCTTTCTCCAATCTCTTCATCCTCCTTGCAAGTGTGAAAATGTGCAGTTTGTAAACATGTGCTCATTCGTAGCAGGATCCATTCTCCTTCTCTATTCTAGACCAAGACTAGTTGCAACTCTTGCAAATCATGAGTATGCACTTACCTGTGGAGTAAATGTAACAAGGAGACGTATCAAGCAAATGAACATACTTCCATGTTGTGACAACAAATATAAAAGTGCTACCAACATTCACGAGGCATCGGTCTTGAATCCCGAAGTTTGGAATAGAACCAGTGCATAGAACATGATCACATTAATTCCTGTGAATTACTGGAAGACCTGGAAGAAAATGGAAATAATTAGGGGTGGCCTGCTGGAACGATTCATGAGTTTCTTGAACGATTTCCTAACTTGGCGCGCTTGTTCACAAGCAGCCACTATCTGTTGAAATTCAGCATCAACATCATTAACACCCTTAATCTTTAGAAGTGCTGCCTTACCTTCGGCTTCTTTGCCTCGTTCCACGAGACTTGATGGAGTTTCTGTGATGATCAAAGAACCGACGAGTAATACGACTGCTGGAACAACTGCCAGGCCAAGAGACCTAAAACAGCAGACTTACTAGCAATTAACAATAGCGAGAAATGGCTTTTAATCTGACCAATTAAATAGTGCGGTCTATCTGTTTTGTTGCGAGAACAAGAGAGCAGCTAAGGCCAGGGAATAAGGAAAACAAGGAACAAATGCATAGCAACAGAAGAAGACAAATAAAACATCTCAAAGATCGGTAAATAAATCACTAAGAATTTATGTGTGTTGTTTTCATCTTATCTTATCTTATACTATATTAAAGGAGGATAGTGGCAACGTTCTTCAGCGCCACTGCACTGCACATTTTTCCCGCCCAACCCAAACAAATTTTTTTATTCATTTTATTTTCTCAATAGCTGTTCAAATTTTTTAAATGAACACTAATAAATGTTGTAGTACTATGGCGGCCACGCAACCACTATATCACATTATCACATATATGAGAATATTAAATGTAACAACTGTTTCTTTCAAATTTTTTAGAATATTTTCCCTACAACAAGTTTTTTGAGAATATTTTATATTTTTTCATTTCACATTAAACAACTACTATTGAGGCTATTTTATATTTTTCCATTTCACATTGAACAACTATTCAATCTTTCTTTAAAAAATTTTTGAGAATATTTTTCCATTTTTTGTACTTTGTTTATTCTAACTATAACTATTATTCGCACGCATGGGTTAAAAATATTTCTTTGGTTTGCAATAAGCAAACTGTTGTCTCATTATAGTTTACTGTCACAAAAGAAATGGTGATGAGAATATATCGTGTCAAATTTTTTTATTCGGATATTTGCACGCTTTTTCACATCTCCTTTTTTCAATTTTTCAACTCTCCCATGTCAAGATATTTGCAGGCTTTTTCACATCTCCATTTTTCAATTTTTCAACTCGCCAACTGTACTTCACTCCACCCTCCCCCCACCCAATCCCTAACACATATACTTTTTCTGATAATCTCCATTTTTCAATTTTTCAACTCTCCCATGTTAGGATATTTGCAGGCTTTTTCACATCTCCATTTTTCAATTTTTCAACTCATCCACTGTACTTCACTCCACCCCACCCCTCCCCTTCCACCCAACCCTAACACATACTTTTCATGATATTTATAGGATTTGTAGGTTAATCACAAATTTGATTGACACGCGAAAAAAAAAAGCAAAACACATTTTAAATCCAATTTTATCCTTGTAAAAAGTGTTCTATATCAGCGTTTTCAACTCTGTAGGCGTTTTTCATATA